CTGTTACACATCTCTGAGATAATGTAATATTATGAAAATAATTCAAGCACAATAACTACAGATAGTAACTCCTCGATTTGAGACGCCATAAAAATCGAAGCGAGTTGATGTTGGAGCAAATATTTCTTAAAGTGAGTCAATGAGTATGACCTCAACCAGCCAATGACAGTCACACACCACCCACATGTTACCTTGAAACAAGTGGATGAAGCTAAACCCAAATGTTTAAGCTTCAACTTTTGACCGACAGGCAGATAGTCCCCTTTTTATATAGCAAATCATAAAATAAAGGGTAGACTAAAATAAAATACATCATTCTTTAAATAAAGGCGACGAAGTCAAGTCAGAAAAATAAATTAGATGATACATAACTCTGCATATGGATCTCTGGAGAGCTGAGAGAAGCCACTAGACTCCATTATCATTAAATAATATGTGGTGCAGCCGGGTCACAGCCGAAAAATCGCAGGGTCGAACCCTGCCAACAGCACACGAACATTTGGGCAACGTTTCCTTTCACCTCATGCACCTGATACTTAAGAGGTTAATATAGGTACCTGGGAGCTAGACAACTGTTGGAGATGTCATCCAGAAGGAGGTCAGTAGTTGGCCCAGCGCGACCAAAGTAATCTTAAGAGGCTTCTTGTCCATAACAATAGACACTAGATCTTAACGTAAAGTATACTCTAGGGCCTGTCTTAGGTAAAGTATACTCTAGGGCCTGTCTTAGGTAAAGTATACTCTAGGGCCTGTCTTAGGTAAAGTATACTCTAGGGCCTGTCTTAGGTAAAGTATACTCTAGGGCCTGTCTTAGGTAAAGTATACTCTAGGGCCTGTCTTAGGTAAAGTATACTCTAGGGCCTGTCTTAGGTAAAGTATACTCTAGGGCCTGTCTTAGGTAAAGTATACTCTAGGGCCTGTCTTAGGTAAAGTATACTCTAGGGCCTGTCTTAGGTAAAGTATACTCTAGGGCCTGTCTTAGGTAAAGTATACTCTAGGGCCTGTCTTAGGTAAAGTATACTCTAGGGCCTGTCTTAGGTAAAGTATACTCTAGGGCCTGTCTTAGGTAAAGTATACTCTAGGGCCTGTCTTAGGTAAAGTATACTCTAGGGCCTGTCTTAGGTAAAGTATACTCTAGGGCCTGTCTTAGGTAAAGTATACTCTAGGGCCTGTCTTAGGTAAAGTATACTCTAGGGCCTGTCTTAGGTAAAGTATACTCTAGGGCCTGTCTTAGGTAAAGTATACTCTAGGGCCTGTCTTAGGTAAAGTATACTCTAGGGCCTGTCTTAGGTAAAGTATACTCTAGGGCCTGTCTTAGGTAAAGTATACTCTAGGGCCTGTCTTAGGTAAAGTATACTCTAGGGCCTGTCTTAGGTAAAGTATACTCTAGGGCCTGTCTTAGGTAAAGTATACTCTAGGGCCTGTCTTAGGTAAAGTATACTCTAGGGCCTGTCTTAGGTAAACATTGTTTTGATTCAATATATCTTGTTTTTAAATTACTAATATATCCACTATATTATGCAGCACTGTATCATTGCAGCACTATATTATGCAGCACTGTATCATTGCAACACTATATTATGCAGCACTATATTATGCAGCACTATATTATGCAGCACTATATTATGCAGCACTGTATTAAGCAGCACTATTATGCAGCACTGTATTATGCAGCACTATATTATGCAGCACTGTATTAAGCAGCACTGTATTATGCAGCACTGTATTATGCAGCACTATATTATGCAGCACTGTATTAAGCAGCACTGTATTATGCAGCACTGTATTATGCAGCACTATATTATGCAGCACTGTATTAAGCAGCACTGTATTATGCAGCACTGTATTATGCAGCACTGTATTAAGCAGCACTATATTATGCAGCACTATATTATGCAGCACTATATTATGCAGCACTATATTATGCAGCACTATATTATGCAGCACTATATTATGCAGCACTATATTATGCAGCACTATATTATGCAGCACTATATTATGCAGCACTATATTTTGCAGCACTATATTATGCAGCAATATATTATGCAGCACTGTATTAAGCAGCACTATATTATGCAGCACTGTATTAAGCAGCACTATATTATGCAGCACTGTATTAAGCAGCACTATATTATGCAGCACTGTATTAAGCAGCACTATATTATGCAGCACTGTATTAAGCAGCACTATATTATGCAGCACTGTATTAAGCAGCACTATATTATGCAGCACTGTATTATGCAGCACTGTATTAAGCAGCACTATATTATGCAGCACTATATTATGCAGCACTATATTATGCAGCACTATATTATGCAGCACTGTATTATGCAGCACTATATTATGCAGCACTATATTATGCAGCACTATATTTTGCAGCACTATATTATGCAGTACTATATTATGCAGCACTATATTATGCAGCACTATATTATGCAGCACTATATTATGCAGCACTATATTATGCAGCACTATATTATGCAGCACTATATTATGCAGCACTATATTTTGCAGCACTATATTATGCAGTACTATATTATGCAGCACTATATTATGCAGCACTGTATTAAGCAGCACTATATTATGCAGCACTGTATTAAGCAGCACTGTATTAAGCAGCACTATATTATGCAGCACTGTATTAAGCAGCACTATATTATGCAGCACTGTATTAAGCAGCACTATATTATGCAGCACTGTATTAAGCAGCACTATATTATGCAGCACTGTATTAAGCAGCACTATATTATGCAGCACTGTATTAAGCAGCACTATATTATGCAGCACTGTATTAAGCAGCACTATATTATGCAGCACTATATTATGCAGCACTATATTATGCAGCACTATATTATGCAGCACTATATTATGCAGCACTATATTATGCAGCACTATATTTTGCAGCACTATATTATGCAGTACTATATTATGCAGCACTATATTATGCAGCACTGTATTAAGCAGCACTATATTATGCAGCACTGTATTAAGCAGCACTGTATTAAGCAGTACTATATTATGCAGCACTGTATTAAGCAGCACTATATTATGCAGCACTGTATTAAGCAGCACTATATTATGCAGCACTGTATTAAGCAGCACTATATTATGCAGCACTGTATTAAGCAGCACTATATTATGCAGCACTGTATTAAGCAGCACTATATTATGCAGCACTGTATTAAGCAGCACTATATTATGCAGCACTGTATTAAGCAGCACTATATTATGCAGCACTGTATTAAGCAGCACTATATTATGCAGCACTGTATTAAGCAGCACTATATTATGCAGCACTGTATTAAGCAGCACTATATTATGCAGCACTGTATTAAGCAGCACTATATTATGCAGCACTGTATTAAGCAGCACTATATTATGCAGCACTGTATTAAGCAGCACTATATTATGCAGCA